AATGAAAGTATAGTAGAATTTTAATTTAAAGCGATGTATGTTAGCAACATACCATTATTTTTAAAAAAGCGTGCAATTTTGGTATGCACAGAATTCTGCATACATCTTATCTTGCAAACACTATTAAAATCCAAGTGTTGCCATTACTGGTTTGGTTATTTGCTTCTTCATTAAGCAAGGCTCCCAATGTAGCTTTTATTTATTTGTTCGCTTGTTTGTATCCTGCCTTTATTATTTTTACAAATAACTCAAGGCAGTGAACATAGCCAACGTCTTCCTCCTATTTTCCCCACAACAATGACCCTGTGAGGTGGGTTGGGCTGAGATAGAGTGACTAGTCCGAAGTCACTAACTAGTTTTCATGGTTAAGACAGGACGAACTCACAGTATCCTGCTTTCAAGCCTGGGATCTTAACACTAGACCAGGGTTAGGCAACCTTGGCTCTTTTATGACTTGTGGACTTTAACTCCCAGCATAGCATAGCTGACTCAGGAATTCTGGGAGCTGAAGTCCACGAGTCATAAAAGAGCTGAGGTTGCCTACCCTTGCACTAGACCAAACTGGCTCTCTCATTCTCTCATTTAGATTTTGTGGAAATATACAGTATACAATTAATATAGGTAGTCCCTGAGTTACGACTGCAGTTGAGCCCTGCAATTAAGGGTCATATGTCATGATAGTCATAAAGTGAATCACCGTGTGACCTGATTTTATAACTTTTTTGATGTGGTTGTTAAGTGAATGCAATGGTCATAAAGCGGATTCTTCTTCTTCTTGTGCCATATCGGTTATCGGACATTGGCAATCATGTTGGCGATCCTGTTTTTATCAGCAGCTGCACGAAAAAGTGCTGCTGAGTTTTGTCCAAACCAATCCCTTAGATTTTGAAGCCACGATGTTCTTCTTCTGCCTGGATCTTGTTTGCCTTCAATCTTTCCCTGGAAGATTAAATGGAGTATGCCGTATTTTTTGGGTGTCGCATCACATGTCTGAAATATTCTAATTTTCATTTTTTAATTGTTTTGATGATTTACCTTGGCTTTCCCAGGCGGCTTATCACCTCCTCATTTCTGATCTTGTCAACCCAGCTTATACGTAACAGCCGCCTGTAAACATTAAATGAACCATGTAATCATTAAGCAAATCCATTGTTCACTATGGGGCAGTTTTTGTTGGAAACTGAAAGTAGATGCAGGTTTCTGGCAAAACCACTGTAAATTGCAGTCACACGACCACAGGATGCTGCAAATAGCCGTGAAGCTTTGTAAACTGCTCACACATCCCAGGCAGAGAGCGATATTGGAACTTTGAAACCAGATCATAAGAAGCTTTGGGGAGGGTGGGATCTGTCATAACTTTAAGGATCTCTAAGTGACCATTTATAAGTCAAGAACTACCTGTAAAAGCAAGACAGTCGCTATCTCAAGCTGATAAATGAAAAAGCAAAAAAGAAAGGAGAGACAAAGAAGTGGGGTGATGGGATCCTATTTGTGAGATATTTATTTGGTCATATGAACAATTTATCTATTATCTGTTACGTGACACAGGAGGGGCCCAAAAAGGTGGACAGGAATAGCCATGTCTCATAAAGCTACCTACAGTATTGATCAGGGCTTCCAAGTGTCCCTGATAAAAGTTCTGTTAGCTCCTGAGTTAGTTTTCTGTATCTGTTTGCTGCCATCTAGTGTTGACTTTTTTGTGTGTTTTTGATTCCTGGCAACTGCCTTCAGGTTTTTTTTTTTGCCAAGATTTCAGAAGTGGTTTGCCATTTCTTCCTTCCTAGGGCTGAGACAAAATGTCTAGCCCAAGGTCTCTCAGACTAAGGCAGAACTAGAATTCACAGTCTCCCAGTTCCAGCCTGGTACCTTAAGTGTTACACCAAATTGGCTCTCTCTCGTTCTCTCATTTAGATTTTGTGAAAATAAAAGGGGGGCACGGAGGGGGAGAATGGGCTCCTCTGTTATCTGCAAAAAGGAGCTGCAACACTTACTAATTAGCACATGAAAAAATGGTACTTTTTAATCTGCTGAATTAAGGAAAATTCACCATCATAGCATAGTTGGTCTAGGATGATGGGAAATACAATCTAAACACATCAGGGGGGGAGGGATATCAGTTTGACAGGGGAGTTTATTTGGATTGTCCTGCTCCTTCTTTAAAAGTAAGGTGTGTTGGTCAATTTTTTCTTTGTTGTATTTAGAATTTAGTAAGGAATACTTACTAAAGAATAATGGGACTCTACCCATGCTGGGGTTTAAGTGTTGTTAACCATGCATTGAGCTTGGTGATGTAGAAACATAGACTCATGGGCTTGGAAGAGGCTCAGAGGTCTTCTTGTCCGATCCCCTGCCCAAAGCAGGAGCCCTAATATCATATTGGACAAATGTTTGTCCAGCACTTTCTTGAAAACCTCCAGTGATGGGGCACCCACAACTTTGGAAGGCAAAACCTGTTCTGCTGCTTAATAGTTTTCACTGTCAGAAAATTTTTCATTTCAGGTTGCCTCTTCTTCTGATGACCTTCCACACATTGGTTCTTGTCCTTCCTTCAGGTGCTAAGCAGAATAACTCAAGGCCCTCTTTCCTGTGGCAGCTCTCCAGGTATAGCAGGAAGATGGCTATTATGTCTCCCCACCACTCTTCTCTTTGTTAAACTAGACCTACCTAGTTTGTTAAGTTAAATATACCTGGTTTGCTAGGATAAATGTACTTAGTTCATACATTTAACTGAAAAGAAGCAAGAATGCATAGGATAATAAATACTGTGTTATGCTTTCTATTCATAATATGTAAGTCTTGTAATTCTGTTAAAACAAGTGTTTCCTGCCAAGAGGAGTAGTCATAGATGAAATGTTAATAATAATAATAATCATCATAATAATAATAATATCCTGAGTTTGCAAAAAAACCACCCTACTCAGAACTGCCTATAAGACGTTAACAATAGTTCTTAGGTCCTTGGTTAGGACTTGAACTATTAAGCTTTTACTATTCCCAGACTGTGAATCGAACTGAAGATTTAATCTATTATTATTATTATTATTATTATTATTATTATTATTATTATTATTATTATTATTATATTATTATTATTATTATTATTATTAATAATAATAATAATAATAATGTCAAATAAAAAAATTCTATTCTATTCTATTCTATTCTATTCTATTCTATTCTATTCTATTCTATTCTTGTTTGAATAAGGACCAATTAAAACATGTTGTTAAATGAACACATGTATTAAATGTGTCTGGATATTTAAAAAAAAACCCACAAGATTTAAGAAAATCAGGATTAAGATATTATCCCTGTGAGTCAGTTAAAATTAAATTAACTGCTTGCCTCTGGTCTACTCCATTTCCTCTAAGATGGTTTGCTGATTTAGTTTAATGATGGATGCTGATGCATAACATTTTTTTGTTTCATATTGCTCTGTCCTTTAAAAGAAATGTTGCAGCCCACTGACCCAAATAATTACACCAGAAACTAGGCATTTGAGGTCAAATACTTTATATTTTCTAAATAATACTTCCTCCATTCTTTATCAGGAAACAATGTTTATAAGGAAGCCTTGTCACATATTGCTCATGTTCTAGTTTATTATTAATTACAAAATATAATAGCCTTTTGGTGTTGTTACAGGTAGCCCTCAAATTATGACCACAATTGGGACAGGAAACTCAGTTGCTAAGTGACAGTCATAAAGTGCAATATCAGGTAACCACATTGTTTAGTGATGGCAATTCCAACAGTCCTGGTTGCCATTGTAAACGTGGACAATGTGGGTCGTTAAGTGAGGACCTCGTGTGATTGCAGCTTCTGACTTCCTACTGAGTTTCCCATTGGCTTTGCTTGTGGGAAGTTGGTAGGGGAGATCAGAAATTGTGACTAGGTGACCAGGCCTCCCTGTGATGTCATAATCTCAGGCCAGAAGATCATGATCCCATGTCCAAGTACCCCTCATTATAAGTCCCCTCATTCAGTACTGTCATGACTTTGAATGGTTGCTAAACAAACAGTCATAACTAGACGACTACTTATGTGTATCTCTCCCTTCCTCCCCCCAACACCCCATAAGATAAGACTACAACATACTTCCTTCTTTACATCTAATACCTTTTCTAGCTCTTTGTTCACGTGCTTCCATCCCTTCTTCTGTCCTTTCCTCTTAATTCCTCTTTTCTTCCTGTTTAAAAAGTTCATATTTTTCCACTGGAGTTAAATAACATATCCTTTTCTTGAAGCAATAGATGATTACATTTCCAATTTGTTATTATTGTAATGACAGATGAATTCTAATTTTCATTTAAATACTTTACATTGGAAGACACCCTGCATAAGCTCAGGGCCTTTTTAAAAAGGGCGATTATTATTGCGGGACAAAATCTTGCTATAATTGTTCTTTGTAAAAGTATAGTAGTCACTTTCCATTTTCTGCCACAAGGAGGCAGTACAGATCCATTTGTCTGCCAATTTTGCAACCAAGCTAGAAAAGGAATTAAAATACAAATGAAACTTGCATGGCTTCTTTATTGAATATTAAATTCCCCCAGATCCTAATTTTGTTCCAAACCCTTTCATTTGCTGCAGATTGAGAAATATTTAACACCCATACTGACAGTCCTCAAGTTAAGACTACAACTGAGCCCAACAGTTCTGTTGCTAAGCAACTCAGTGGTTAAATGAATCTTGCTCCATTTTATGACCTTTCTTGCCACAGCGATTAAGTCAATCACTGCAGTTGTTCAGTTAGTAACATGGTTATTAAGTGAATCTGGCTTCCCCATTGACTTTGCTTGTCAGAAGATTGCAAAAGGGGATCACATGACCGCTGGGACACTTCAAGCATCATAAATACATACCAGTTGCCAAGCATCCAAATTTTAATCACGTGACCATGGGGATACTGCAACATTTGTAAGTGTGAAAAACGGTCATGTCACTTTTTTCAGTGTCATCGAAACTTTGAACGGTCACTAAACAAATGGTTGTAAGTCCAGGACTACCTGTATTTGAGCAGTACTCCCATGAAAGCATTTAATCTCATGCCAAGTCTGTTAGTTTTATATCTTGTCTTTCCTTGAGGAACTCTAGACAGGCTTATATGAGGTTCTCCCATTCATTCTACCAGTGTTTCCTCGAAAGTAAGACCAGGTCTTTTTTTTTTTTGCCTCCAAAAGAGGCACCATATCTTATTTTGGGGGGATGACTCTTATACTCACCTCAGGCACTGACAGCCTCGCCCAGCCGGCCCACTTCTTCTGGGGCCAAAGGAGCAGCTTCATTCTGCAGCTGCATTCCGGCCTGCCTTTTGCAGTCAGGCCTTTCCAGAAGGCCTATGAAGCTAAGTACTGAGCTTGGTTCTCGGCTGAAGAGGCCTTCTGGAAAGGCCTGTGACTGAGAAATGCAGGCCTGGCTGCAGAAAATGCCACAGAAGAAGTGGGCCGGCAAGGAGAGACCTGGCTACAAGGTAAGTGGGTGCGGGGCCCGTGGGGCAGATTCACATCCCTACTCCCGCCCTAGCTTGATTTTTAGGTGTGTTGCCTCGCCCCAAAACTAGGGCTACTTTTGGGCTAGGGCTTATATTAGGCTCACCACCCAAAATCAAGCTAGGGCTTATTTTCGGGGTAGGCCTTACTTTTGGGGAAACATGGTATGCCCCAAATAATGACCCCACGAGAACTCAAGGCTGCAAGAGAATGTGACTAGCTTGAAGTTGCCAAAGAGGCAAATGGCAAAGCATGAACCTGAGGCTGGGGCTCCAGGTTCTCTTCCTATACACAGTATCATAACCAGGGCACACTTTGTCTCTTTTCTTTCCAGAATCTACCTAGCTCCAATCTGACAGGAGCACCTAATTTGTGTACACTGTTTTTTCTGTATTGTTTCATGTTTTTTATGCTGTTTTCGATTATTGTTTGCTAGTTGTGAATTTCTGCTGGGCAGTCGAATAAATTGAATGAATGAATGAATCCTTGCCTTTGATAAAATAATGAATGTAATGTGATTCATTATTCATAAAATCAGGAATATTATTTTAAGAAAGGCAACAAGCACAAGGACAGAACAATGAGACTGTAATTTGAACTAGATAAACTGTCAACATTTGGCCAAGAGCAAAGAAACTTGGCTTGCATAGCGCACTGTTGTCCTGTCTGGAACAATTTATTTGATGAACATCCAAAAATCTGCCACTAATACTTCAAACAGCCTGGAAAGGTCTACTGAAAAGCAAAGCCTGCTGGTTTCACTGATATAGACTGATTATGATTATTTCTTGTAGTGCATGTGTGTATAGTAAGCTTACAGTGTAGCTGTTGTTGAAGAAGATGCCTGAGAATATCTTGAACAGCCAAGAAAATAAACAAAGGAATCATCTCTGGAGGCATTTAGTAGCATTAACGCAACAAGGAGAGCTATTTTTTCTTTGTCTCTTTTTTATTTTGATATGCCAGCAGTCACTTCAATGCATGATGCTGAATAACGACTCCCCAAAATCTTTGGAGGAACCTAATTTCAAATCCAGGGTTTAATTCCTGCAAGTGAAAGAAGCAAGAAATTAAATCCCACTGAATTCAGTTGGATTTATGAATACAAATGCATAGGATTATACCTTTTGGAATGAACTAACGAAGACATGTGGATGAACTAATGAATACCTGCAGATTATCAAGTGCTCAGATTTTGATCATGTAACCATGGGAATGCTTTGATGGTTTTGCAAGTTATTTTTTGGCACTATTGTAACTATGAATGTTCATTAAACAAATAGCTGTAAACAGTGGTGGGATTCAAATATGTGAACAACCAGTTCTCTGTGTGGATGCCGCTTCCGGAAGTCCATTCTGGGCCTGGGCAACAAAATATTAGCTACTGGTTCTGCCGAACTGGTGCAAACTGGCTAAATCCCACCACTGGTTGTAATTCAAGGTCTATCTGCAGAATATTTTGCAACCTCCAAAAAAGTAAGTTCCAACTTCCTTGAGGAGAAAAATCTCAAACATTTAGTCTAAAGTAGAAAAAGGCAGAAGTATATTTCACAGGGGAAGAAAACTTTTGAATTTTCCTAGTCTTCCTACTCTGTGCATCAGCCTCTTTCTCTAACATTGTCTTCTTCTGCCATTATTTCTCTCTATTATTCGCCCTCCTGGTACATCTGGAACTCATGCAAGCCATCAGCTGTCTTCCCAGATTTGATGGCCCCTTGTTTTTATTATTTCTAGTTTCCCTGCTGTGCCAGAATTAGCAGAATAGAACTATGATCAAATGAACTAACAAAAATATTAAGCGCCTGGAATTTTATTTAAAGACATTCCTTTTTTATCTTCCAAAATGTACATATTTCAGCTTGTTTGAAGTAATCTTGTCAAGTCCATTCCAAAGGAAATCCTAGAATATTTAACAATATGTATCTTTCGATCACTTTGAAGTCCGAGCTGCTCACACTTCCCCATCATGTTATCCCCCTTAGGATTTAATGGAAATGGAAACTAAGGGGGGGTGCAGACCACTGGAGAAATGATCACTCAAGGACATGCTATTTATGCTTTATGCAGATCTATGCAAATTTCTTAGAAGTTCTCACAGTAAGGTCAAGAAGTTGAAGTCTCTGCCATTTAACAGTTTTTTTTCTAAGTAGGAAAATGTTTGTTGATATTATATAGTAAATTAACCCAAATGCAGGTTTTAGATAAGTCTTCCCCCTCCAGCATCTTCCAGCTATGCTATCCATCACATTAAGCTAGCAAATCATTTGACTGTGCTGTCAGAAAAGGAGGGTTAGAACAACAGTTAGAGGAAGACCCTAACCTATACTAAATCATGATGGAACCAAAGGTAGATATCAACACTGGGTCTCAAGAATCAGTTCCTTTTTCTTGCTGATCTTTCCAACATAATTTCCTGACCTTGAAGTCAAAGGATATGTTTGAGATTCAGTTGCTAGTATTGTCCAAAACTCATTGATGGAGCCCAAAGTCTGGGATTTGGAAACATTAGCAAAAACATTAGCAAGAAAAGGGTTTAGATTAGCCATTCATCCACCATTAGTAATCTATGTAATGTAATATAACTTTTCATTTCAGCCTTCAGCAGATGAAAGAAAGCCAGAAGTAAATGTCTATGGAGATTTAGGACATCATCTCTAAATCAACCTCCTTCAAGGTCAAAGCTCCATGATTATGGCAGCTTTTCATTACATATCTGCAGACTATAAAGGCTGAGCAGGTTATCCCTTTTCATCCAGGATATCACAAACAACTTTGATAGTTTAACATTTGGGAAGGCTTCAGGCCAGAGAGATTCAATTAATTTTTCATATGCCCAGAACACTTTCAAGATGTTCCTTCTCAACTTGAACCAAAAATCTCAGCTTCTATCTAGATCTCTACTATAGATATAGATCAATAAGCAGCAGCTGACTTCAAAAGTGTCAGAGTCAGTAATTACCATCATGTGTGCTCACTAATGCAGATATATTGGAATCTCACAGAAATTGGGCCCTAGGAATTTTTCAGTGTATGAGCTCCTATTTAGGTTATCCCACTGTTGGGAAGAATCTTCAGAACATGGCTTTCTCCCATTTGAAATAAGTGGAAGAATTTTTAAATCAATAGATTTTGACTCCTGTGTAATCATCCTCTATACAGCAGTATCTTCTAGGAATATTGTTTTTTTTTAATTGTAGGCATAGATATAGTAGATTTGCTTTTTGTACTCTTTTCATCACAGAATTTGTCTACTATTAGCAAAATGCACCACTACCCACAAACAACATAACAGGAAGTGCTAGTTCATCTCTCCCTTCCTATCTCCAAAGAAAGTAGTGGTAAATTTATCTAGGCTGGATATACTTAAGAGGAGGTTACATGTTCATTTAAATTGGATCCTTGCCCTGAGCAAGGCCTTCCTATTCAATAGCCTCCACATTCTATAATTCCATGATTAATAGCCACCTTTGTGCATTACTCATAATGACTGTGCAGAAAGTTTTAGAGAAAGAACCAAAGGTTCAGAATGAAATCACAGTTCCAGCTTAGCTCCTATTAGATAACAAATGATGTCTCTGAAGATTCTCAATCATCCAGGTCATGGTTGTCCCAAAGGTGCTTTTCAAAAGGCAACTACCATGTTTCCCTGAAAATAACACCCACCCAGAAAATAAGCTCTAGCCTGACTTTTTTAGGATGTGCCTAATATAAGCCCTATCCCAAAAATAAGCCTGGAGGGTGGATGTGGCCAGCACAGGAAGCGGCAAGCGCGGGGGAGCCAACAGTATCTAGCAGCAGCAGCAGCCCATGCAGCACAGGTAAGTGCGAGTGTGGAGGCAGAGGTGGGGGGGGCGCAGATGATCCTGACATGCTGTGTGGCTGCCTGGCTTGCGGGAGGCTTGCGCGGTGGCACCGGCAGCAAGCAGAGGCGGGGGGGGGGAAGCAGGTGATCCGGACATGCTGTGCAGCTGCCTGGCTCGCAGGAGACTTGCGGGAGGCTCACATGGCAGCACCGGCAGTAGGCAAATGCAGAGGCACGGGGGGAGGCAGGTGATCCCGATAAACTGCCCATTCCATCCCACCGTCTTTCGGCTTGCCCGTGGCCATGCTAAGGCAGGCAGCCTTGTGGCACATAGGGATCACCTGCCTCCCCCCCGTGCCTCTGCCTCCATGCTCAGATTTACCTGCACTGCACCAAGGAGCTGGCCGGCTGCAGCTGCTGTTGGACACCGTCAGCCCCTGCACACTCACTGCTTTTTGTGTGCATGCCAGGGGGTGGGGCGCCCGGCCGGGCTGATCACCCTGATACCGTATTTCCTTGAAAATAAGCCCTAATGTGTCTTTTGGTGCATATATATATATATATATTAATAAGAATAGTGAAAATAAAAATATGATTCCTGGGTGAATCCATAATCAATTACCAATAAAGTGTGAACACCAGGAATATAATAAACTATAAAAGTTTAATACCATCACCGATCACCAAGCTTTCGTCAGATACTTCTGACATCGTCAGGGTTAATGCTGGTCTGTGGGAGAGTGCCTTTATAGGTGAGCCGTCATTTGCACACGGCTCCTAGATCTTGTCGTAGGTCCTAATTGATTTAACTGCTTTTTAATTACAGCTTCCATACTGATGACTCCTCTTTTCTTGCTTTTACTGCTTGTGGGTGTGTCATTATTCCCCTCTACCTCCCACTGCCTTGAATTAGGGAGGTTCTTTCCTCCCCTTTTTTGGTCATTCATATCTCTAAGTTGTTCCCTCTTCACACCTCCATGTCTCCTACCTTCCTCCTTCTTCTGATCTTTACTTGCTCCCCAATTGTCATCCCTCATTCTATGGGGGAGCACTCTCAGCCTTTCTCCCCATCCCTTGCTTTCCATTTCCCTCTCTTTGGCTGCATAAACTCCGTTTCTGTCATTGCCATTCCGTCTGACATCTACTTGCTCTTTCACCCCATTGTCAATGTTCTCAGACTCCATGTCAGACTGAATCCCTTGAATATCTCCTTCCTCCTCACACAAGCCCTCGTGTGCCCTCCTTTTTTGAGTATGTATGCCTGGTTCCTTTATATCCCTCCCTCCATCAACACAGTGATCTTTTTTACAGTTTCTATCACATTCTACCCTTATTTGCATTTCCCCCCCATTCACACTGCTCTCGATCTCTATATCCTTTCGGGCATTCCGATTGGCGCTCTGTTGTTTCCGTTGATGGACTGTCATCACAGGGCAAGCCGGTCCCATCCTCCTTCTTTCCTGATGCTGCTGGATCATCGCTGTTTTGGGTTTTGGAGGGTGGGGAATGATTGTTTGTTGGCTAATTGACTCTTTCTCATCATGCAACCGTTCTCTCACTGTCCGGGAGCGTGTGCATGGTCCTGGAGCAGGGGGGGAGGAGTCCCTCAATCGTTGATTACTCTCCTGAATGTCCATGGGCCGTTGCTGTTGTTGTGGGGGGTGAAAATTCATCCCCTCCATAACTTCTTCCCTAGGGTTACGTGATACTGTCGCAGGGTATCTCCTTAAGGGTGGGTGGTCTCGCCTGCTCCATGCTCTTAAAGTTAGATGTGCCGGGCACAAATCGATGTGCCGGTTGACAGAGTCCCCGTCAGAGAGCCATGCCTCTTTTAGTAACCGGCCCTCTTTCGTGTTGTCACCGGACAGGATGCATACATTATCAAAGTCAAAGCAATGTCCAGAATCCGCCATGTGCGCCCATACTTGGGAGTGCTGTTCCCCCCTTTTCACCACTAATTTATGCTCATGGACCCTAGTCTTCATTCTTTTTGAAGTCTCTCCAACATAATTAACGGGGCAATCTTTGCAGTTGATTTTATATATGATTGCCGATTTTTCAGTGTTGGGGAGCGGGTATGAACAGGTCAAAGGAACACCCATGGGGTCCCCAATCTCTAGCGTCATAGCAGAGGCTGTGCTGCAACAACTAGAGCACGTAGCGATGGCCCAATACCAACCTAAATTCTAGGCCCGCTACGTTGACGACACATTCGTGGTCATCAAAAGGGAGCATAAAGCTAACTTTGTGGGCATACTCAACTCGGTATACCCTGACATTCAGTTCACGGAGGAGGAGGAGAGCCAGGGGAGACTGGCGTTCTTGGACGTAATGGTCCACCGCCAGCCGGATGGGACCCTGAGCACGAGGGTATACCGAAAACCTACGCATACAGACAGAATTCTGCATTATGCTAGTAACCATCCTATGACCCACAAAGTTAGCTGCATAAGAACGCTATTTAGACAATAGACTCCCATTGCAGCACAGCCAAAGCTAAAAGGGAAGAAAGAAACCATCTCTTCCAAATATGCAGACGCAATGGTTACCCTACCAGGTTCATCAGACGCTGTAGTATACCACCCAAACCCCGGATGAGCTCGGATATGAAGGAACTCCCGTCACAGATAACCCGTGTCACCCTTCCGTACATCAGCAATGTTTCAGAAGCAACAGCCAGGTAGTTAGCCCCCCATAAAGTGAGGGTGGCTCACAGACCTGTTCAAACTTTAAGATCCAAAGTGATGCGCCCAAAAGACCCGCTCCCCAACACTGAAAAATCGGCAATCATATATAAAATCAACTGCAAAGATTGCCCCGTTAATTATGTTGGAGAGACTTCAAAAAGAATGAAGACTAGGGTCCATGAGCATAAATTAGTGGTGAAAAGGGGGGAACAGCACTCCCAAGTATGGGCGCACATGGCGGATTCTGGACATTGCTTTGACTTTGATAATGTATGCATCCTGTCCGGTGACAACACGAAAGAGGGCCGGTTACTAAAAGAGGCATGGCTCTCTGACGGGGACTCTGTCAACCGGCACATCGATTTGTGCCCGGCACATCTAACTTTAAGAGCATGGAGCAGGCGAGACCACCCACCCTTAAGGAGATACCCTGCGACAGTATCACGTAACCCTAGGGAAGAAGTTATGGAGGGGATGAATTTTCACCCCCCACAACAACAGCAACGGCCCATGGACATTCAGGAGAGTAATCAACGATTGAGGGACTCCTCCCCCCCTGCTCCAGGACCATGCACACGCTCCCGGACAGTGAGAGAACGGTTGCATAATGAGAAAGAGTCAATTAGCCAACAAACAATCATTCCCGACCCCCCAAAACCCAAAAACAGCGATGATCCAGCAGCATCAGGAAAGAAGGAGGATGGGACCGGCTTGCCCTGTGATGACAGTCCATCAACGGAAACAACAGAGCGCCAATCGGAATGCCCGAGAGGATATAGAGATTGAGAGCAGTGTGAATGGGGGGGAAATGCAAATAAGGGTAGAATGTGATAGAAACTGTAAAAAAGATCACTGTGTTGATGGAGGGAGGGATATAAAGGAACCAGGCATACATACTCAAAAAAGGAGGGCACACGAGGGCTTGTGTGAGGAGGAAGGAGATATTCAAGGGATTCAGTCTGACATGGAGTCCGAGAACATTGACAATGGGGTGAAAGAGCAAGTAGATGTCAGACGGAATGGCAATGACAGAAACGGAGTTTATGCAGCCAAAGAGAGGGAAATGGAAAGCAAGGGATGGGGAGAAAGGCTGAGAGTGCTCCCCCATAGAATGAGGGATGACAATTGGGGAGCAAGTAAAGATCAGAAGAAGGAGGAAGGTAGGAGACATGGAGGTGTGAAGAGGGAACAACTTAGAGATATGAATGACCAAAAAAGGGGAGGAAAGAACCTCCCTAATTCAAGGCAGTGGGAGGTAGAGGGGAATAATGACACACCCACAAGCAGTAAAAGCAAGAAAAGAGGAGTCATCAGTATGGAAGCCGTAATTAAAAAGCAGTTAAATCAATTAGGACCTACGACAAGATCTAGGAGCCGTGTGCAAATGACGGCTCACCTATAAAGGCACTCTCCCACAGACCAGCATTAACCCTGACGATGTCAGAAGTATCTGACGAAAGCTTGGTGATCGGTGATGGTATTAAACTTTTATAGTTTATTATATTCCTGGTGTTCACGCTTTATTGGTAATTGATTATATATATATATATAGGTGTGTGTGTGTGTGGGTGTGTGTGTTGTGTGTGTGATGTGTGTGTGTGTATGTATATAGGTCTTTGGTTGTTCGGGTTTTCTCCCGCGTAAATTGGAAGTGTCTTGGCGACGTTTCGACGAAGTCCCATTTGTCATCTTCAGGCTGGTGTTTTCAGCTTCGTGCTTCGAGCAGCAATGTGTGGTCTTAGCTGTTTCTTCCTTTTAACTGCCAGTGGGGGTATGCACTGATTGGGTGGGAGCTTGGCTGTGTTCTGATTGGGTGGAGGTGTGTTCTGATTGGTTAGGGGCTTGGCTGTGCTCTGATTGGCTGGGGTGTTGGCTGTGCTCTGATTGGCTGGGATGGTTGACTGTGCTCTGATTGGCTGGGGGAGTGTTCTGTGTGGGTGGGGGCTTTGTTGTGCTCAGGTTAGTCTGAGTTGCAGGGGCGTTTAAGATGATGGGCTGCCTTGCTATTTTTTGGCTTCGCGTTCATGGTCGTGCCTCATCTTCATGGTGGGTGTCAGTTTGCTTCATGTATGGATTGGAGGGGTTTAAAGTGGCTAATGATGCAGCTGTGGTCTGGCTTCTGGTTTGTGGTCATGCCTCATCATTGGTGTGGGTTTTGGGTTTGCTTTTTGCGTGGATGTGTGGTGGTGACATCCTGTGTGGTTTTTGTGAGTGTGGGTCTGGTGTCATTTTTTGTGTTAGGGAGTCGTTTGTTAATAAGGGCGGGTTTCCAAATGGCTGGTAGGCGGGAGGTATCATCTCGTTTGTTCATGCTGTGTGGGCGTTTTTCTATCTCGATGGCTTCATTGATTATTCTGTTATTAAAATGTTCACTTTTGGCGATAGTTCTGGTATTTTTAAAGTCAATTTCATGTCCTGTGGCTTTAAGGTGTTGGACCAGGGAAGATGTTGGTTCCTCTTTTTTGACTGAGTTTTTATGTTCTTCAATGCGTGCACTTATTCTTCTGTTGGTTTGTCCGATGTATGTGTTGGGACAAGCAGTGCATGGGATTTCATATACTCCTTGTGTGGTTTTTGTGAGTGTGGGTCTGGTGTCATTTTTTGTGTTAGGGAGTCGTTTGTCAATAAGGGCGGGTTTTCAAATGGCTGGTAGGCGGGAGGTATCATCTCGTTTGTTCATGCTGTGTGGGCATTTTTCTATCTCGATGGCTTCTCTGATTTTTCTGTTATATATTTTCATTTCTCCTAATATGCATTCTTGTATAATGCAATATGTTTACATATTCTCATGTATGCACTCTCTGCAATCCATTTTTTTTGCTAAGCCAATGTATTTTGTGAACATCTTCATTCAAATATTTCCATTCTGCTTTACTCATATTTACAATAACATTCTAGATCAGAGAATTTGGAAAAGCACAGATTTTAGTATATGTGTGTATATGCATACATATGTGTGTGTTTATGCATATATGCATACATATATAGAGAAAGCATCCTGAACACGCAGTCTGGTTAACACACATTTGGGAAATGCAAATTGGGATCTAAGCACTAAAATATATTTAGCAAACTCACCATTTGAGTTGCAATTTAGCAACTCAAAGAAATGGTTATTGACAGCTAATTCTAGTGAAATTTTCTCATGAAAATTTGAATGCAAGCAACTGAATATGTGTGTCCTTGTGCGATGTACTTGTTAATTTTCCTTTCTGATTTTATCACATTTTTTAAATAAGAGGAAAAGATCTGTTCCCATGCCCATATCTCATTTATTTCCTACTTCAGAAGTTTAATATTCATATATTGATCTGAACTTTAAATTGGTGTAGGCAAATTATATCAGAGAAGAATATACCTTTGACGAAAATCAATTAATCTTTTCAGAAATATTTCCAAGAAAAAATATCTCTCCCCCATGAAAACAAGTGAGAAAAAGTTTGGACTTTAGTGTCCATTTTAAGAAAAGCTTAACAAATGGGAAAAGCACTGGATAATAAATAACAAAAGCTTTATTGTGAAGAGCTCTTACATTGGCACCTGATAGATGTAATGGACACATTAATTGGGAAACCAAGAACCCCAATGCTTTAAAAAATAAACACACACCTGTTTTAGATTCAGAGACTGATGTTTTGAGAAGATCAAGCAACACATGATTCTATTCACCTCCTCAGATCTTTGTGAGGTAGAGCTCTGTGTTTTATCTCTACTGAAGTTCATTCAGCACACAGCCAGGACAAGGTTCTCTTTAGTGTGGCACCAGATTTTGCATGAGTCCAGGCCTAAAATATCACTGCTGTTCTTTCAGATAAATCTAAAAAAAAAGAGGGAGAAGTACAGTGCTCATTTTTGTTGTTGCAAGAGGTTCAAAACACTTCCATATCTTTTCCATATAGTGCACACTGACCACAACTCTTTCCTAACAGAAAGCAACTGAAAGGGTCTTGGCTGATATCAAGACTAAGGCAGGGGAGAAATTCTATTACTGGTCACCACTATGCCATCTTCCTGCCTTACAAAAACATCACTTGCTGCTATATAAATCATTCTACAGTTCAATACTGAAACTGTAGTTTGCAAAAAGAATTTGGTGCATTCCTGATGTTCTTTGACTTCTCAGTTATACATTGTCTTTCTGTAACTGTATTTTCTTATTTTATCAATCTAGTGCTTGTAGTATTTTGTTTTCAAATGAAATTCTTAACGAGAGGTTTAAGCTGAGAATTGGCAACTGATTAGAGATTTTTTTTAAAAGTTATTAATCAAGAGCCAGTTTGGTGTAGCGATTAAATCATCAGGCTAAAAATCGGGAGACCATGAGTTCTGATCCTGCCTTATGCATGAAGCCAGCTGGGTAACCTTGAGTCACTCAGTTTCTCTGAGTCTTAAGAAGGAGCCAATGGCAAACCCCTTCTGACAAACTTTGCCAAGAAAACAGCAGGGATTGTCCATGTAGTCTCCAAGAATCAGACAAAATTAAGTGGAAGAAAAAGATTAGTACATTTGCAGACCACCAAACTGTTGGAATTATTGGGTTATCTTGGCCTGTTAGGCTGAGTCATCAGCCGCAGTAGGCCAAGGTATGAGGAAGTTAGCACGTGTAATATGCTAATATGCTGTGTCATAACAAATGTGGTTGGTGTAAGGTGGTCATCAGGTGCCTATAAACCCGCCTTCTGATAACACAATAAAAGGGATGCTTCGTCTTTGTTCGAGGCTCCCATCCTGAGGAAACCACGTGTACGTGTCTGTTCTTCAACACCCATGGGAGACCGCTGGGCGCGTGAAAACCCACAAATGGTGACCCCGACGTGATTCAAGTTTCTGAGCACGTCTCCTCTTACTCACTCAGCGGAAGAGCTTACTGCAACTCAGGGCCGGTCGTCAGAGCTAGACGAAGCACTCTCCCAAAACATTACCGTGAGTATGGGGACAACATTCTCTAAGCCTCAGGTTGCGCACCTCCCAGAACTTAGGGAATTGACCAAGTCATCAATAATTAAATTAGGAAAAACAATGGGAAAGATTTGCTGCTGATCCTCCTCTTAAAACATGTGTATCTAAATTGCCTTGCATAGCCCGAAGGAGGATCCCTAAAAATGTTTGTGTGGGTTAAATTAGGAAAGTATTTTCATGAATGACCAGGATGTGTAAAACTGTGACTGTTAACTATTTCAAATCCAAAGGAAAAAGAATTTTAAAGTCTGCTAGAAATTCTGCTTAAAATAAGCCACAAAAAGGAAAAACCTCACTCTGTTTGTCTGGCCAACAAACAGAGTGAAGAAAAAGAATTGTGTTTGTTTGTTTGTATTCCTCCTTCTCTCTGTGTGTCTATCTACAAGAGCCTTTTGAAACTCAAGTCTGCTTGTGTGGGGAAATAATTTTTTAAAGTTACTTTTCATATCCTAAAACTTACTGGTGAAACTACTATGAAACTTTTCTGAAACAAATAAGCATTTTCTAATCTCTAAAACGATGTGGTCTATTTTAGAATAAATGTTCTCCTACCCTTGGCAAGTTGCACACCTTAAAATTTAGGCTTTTAAAATTATTTGGAGTTTTCAGCATTTTCAAACTGCCTGCAAACTACCCCCCTTCCAATTCTTTTCCTGCTCTTTGTTCTCCATACCTTTTGTCTGCCTCTCCTGGTAGAGTCCGTCCAGAAAGGGGGGGGGAGACCTTGTTCTTGTATCTTTCAGCCCTGAAACCCTCTCCCAAGCCTTTGGAAGCAGAACACACAGACCCAGATGCTGCCTCCATCCATTTGAGCCATGGGATTGAGTTTGAATCCAGCCATCCACTAAAAAGCCACCATGCATCTGGAACCCAAGTCCTACCATTTCCCCAGATGCCTGTGAGAGCTGCAGAAGGAAGGTGGTGCCATGTGAAGCCTCAGAAGAGAAAATTAAGACTGTGGGGGGAGGGTGGAAACTCATTGTAAACTTTTCTTTCTTGCCCCATTTGTATTGTAACAAGCCAGTTGAATGTATTAATGGAGAGAGGGAATATGTGGCAAAACAAGTACTGAACACCTTGGACTTCTATCTGGTGGGAGGGAAAACTTTTCCAGAATGTTTGTATTGCCTGTTTTGTAGAAATAGCTGCATATGCACACATACACCATTCACACCATTCAGAGTCTATCCCCTCCACCTACCTTTAGTAAAGTTCCCCAGGCTGATTTTTGCTCTATTGCACCAAAGCTTTGTGGGACCAACTTCCAACAGATTCCAAGGGGGAGGGAACTAGGCCCCCTCAGGTGATTTGCAATTCATATGCCCTGACTAAGGAAGCAACAGGAAAAATCCCAAACTTATGCCCTGAATATTTTGCACTATTGAGCTCAGATTGGGATTTCTAGAACTCATTATGTGCAATTTAAAGAAAATTTAATAGACTGGCATATTGGACATTACAAACGTGGATGCACTGAATTAAGAGCTAAGGCAGGAAACAACCCTTGAAATTGGGCAGCCAGTGGTCATGTACTAAGGAAAACCATGGCTGTGAGGAATTTTGGGAGGTATGCAAACCTGACTGGAAGCTAAAGGTGACATCCAACATTTGAAAATGATTGGCACAGAATATTGGATACTATAAATTTCTTTTCCACCTAACAAAATTTTGCCCTGACTTTTAGAACTTTATGGGTGCAAGCTCCCCTTTTGGGAGCCACTAAAGGGATCTTTTTCTGCTGCCTCCATTGATGGAAGTTAGCCCCCCCAGAAGGAAATATTAAAAAGGGCAGAAAAATATATTTTTCCTCAAAAGGACTTTTTAAAAACCAAACCTGGCCCCAAATCTATCTCTCTGCCCAAGCAAGAGCTAGGCCCATACAGATGCAAATGTAACACCATCAGAAAGTTGGAGCCAGAGCAATCAAGAAGACAAAAGAGAAGATCTGCATACCCCACCCACACTCTAGGAGTCAGCCCCATCACCTGGGAAGCAGGATATGATAATGCAATTTCCTGAAGAACCATCTTTCTGCAATAAACTGTAATCTTCAGGAACTGTCACCCACCAACAGGTCAATTTAGTAACTACACCTATCACTGCAGTTCAGCAACCCCTGCTAACCAAACCAGCCTTCACTTTGCCAAGCGACACTGAGGATGACTTCCTATAAAGCGCAACCTCCTTATTTTAAATAAAACAGAAAAGTAGGAGATGTTGGAATTATTGGGTTATCTTGGCCTGTTAGGCTGAGTCATCAACCGCAGTAGGCCAAGGTATGAGGAAGTTAGCATGTGTAATATGCTAATATGCTGTGTCATAACAAATGTGGTTGGTGTAAGGTGGTCATCAGGTGCCTATAAACCCGCCTTCTGATAACACAATAAAAGGGATGCTTCGTCTTTGTTCGAGGCTCCCATCCCGAGGAAACCACGTGTACGTGTCTGTTCTTCAACACCCATGGGAGACCGCTGGGCGCGTGAAAACCCACACCAAACTTTCAAATTAGATGCCTTTTTTAAAGATATAAAAGTATTTTTTTTAAAAGGCAGAGTCTAATAAATGAAAGCTATTATTTGCCAGAACAAAATTCCATCTGTACTATTTTAGTTTTCATTTATCTCTTTGGTCTTCTATGGATTAATTAACCAATCATTTTTATTTTCTGCCAATTAAACTATTGCAGTCTTGCAGTTCTACATGGTTGACCTTCAACTAAGTAAAAATTTAATCTGCTATTTAAATAGTAAAAATATAAAAATAAGCAGAATCTGCCAGTGAAGTTGAAACAATCCTATAGTTTTTAAAATGTTTTTCTACTATAAAAGTTAATGCAAACCAAGCTGATAAAATCTGGTATTATCATCATAAACAGAAAGAATTTGTGGTGGGAGAGTTTTGTGGTAAAGAGTAGAATTTAAATTTTAGCAGTTTTCTATTTCATTTATCAACTTGTTGTTGTTCATAACTACTATGGAATGGCTAGGAATATATTTTTCAAGGAAGCAGAATACAGTCTATTAAATTTAGATCAAAAAGAAATGTTCACATTGCAATAGTAGAAGGAAGGGAAAACTAGCGATAGAAAGACCTAGTCAGCACGCTTTAGTTAAACAAACATCCTTCTTGCTTTTTGCAGCTGAATGTAGGCAGAAAGGAAAGATCAAAGCTAAATCTAATAGTACAGAAGAATAAAAGTGAGAGGGAGTGATGTGAATAAGAGCGATCCCAGTAAATATTTGGTAAAAGACACCAAATGTGTCAAAGAATTAAAAAAGAAAAAAGAAAACATGTTACATATGGAGAAAAATACAGCTTTTGGTATTACCTTTGCAACATCCCAATTTTATTAAAAGATTATGTGGATGGGGGAAAGAAAAAGAATGGACATGAAGTTAACATTACGATAATTCCATTAATGGTTGAACTTCATTAAGGGATTTAGATTACAGTTTGAAGTGCTCTGCCAACCATTAGACTTTTTTTTTTAAAAAAAAAAAACTATTTTTCAAAGCAAAAGAGGGAAGAATCATAAAGAAGCTCATTAGCTTTAAAAAAAAAAGAGAGCTAAGGCATAATGATCAGTGCAGACTTTTTTTTCCTACAGAAAGAATTTGAGACAACAGAGCAAAAGGGAAAGTGGGAGAATGTATATGACTTTAGTCTTGGCAAACATATGATGAAAGTCCTCCACTAGTGTTATTATTAATAGAACAGTGGCCTTCTTTGCAGGTGTTAGATATCATTAAACTATTTAATGCAAAAGGAAGACTAGCTAAAATAATATGAAGATAAAATTAAAAGACAAATTAAAAATGACTGAACTCTAATGGGATTTTGGCAGTCATTGAGGTGTCA